AATTTGTTCTGTGACTTGGGATATTTTTGATAATATTCTGAATCCTGTGTAGGCTGTATTCACTGCATTAATGAAATAGTTCAGTACAGGTAATGCTAGAAAAAATGTCTAAGGATTTAGACATAGTAATGTGTGTTCCTACAACTAAGATCTTTCTCTGAATGCCCCGGGACAATTTGACTTGTAGCACTGTTTGTGAGCACACCAAATTTTTTATTTAAAAAAAAAAAATCACTGAAATAATGTTGAAACAAAATTCAAGGAATATAGAAGTGGCTATTGTGAAAGTTACATTTCTTTCCTTATCCTCCTCCAGCCTCCTTCCACGTTTAGGAATGTGGTAGATACAGACTTATCTGTAGAAAATTTTTTTAACTGAATTATTTGTATCCCCTTCCCCCTTTATAGCCTATATTTAAATTTAAGACATTATTATATAAATCATGTTAATGTTTACCTTGGACTTACCTGGAAAGTTAAATTCTAATTTTTCCCCTTAAGGAGTTAATACATTTTGTTTCTGCTAAGGTATTTCAAATTGTAGAAATAATTGAAGCTTGGAAAGTTTGAGTGCCAGAACCTGGGCTTCTGGGATATCTCCTGATCTTGCTTTTTGGATCAGCACTCATTGCCTGCTTGATAATGTCATCTGTGGCCTCAAGGAGTCTAGCAGCTTTGGGAGAAGGATCTCCATGTAGGTCTAAGGTCTTTTGAGTTACAGATCTATTAGCCCTCATTACCTGCTGTATCTTAAAATCCCTTCATCCTAGAACTGCAAGCACAAATAACATTTTTAAATCCATATAACTAGTATGAAAAATGTGACCATTATAAATTACTGGGGTGTTTTCAGTGTAGTATGTCTGAGTTCTTTATTTCGTGTCTTTCCCACTCTACTTCACTTGGCTCTCATTAACATTCTTGTGATGGAAAAAGAGAAAGGAGTAGGATTCCATTGACAATGAATGTACATAACTTTTTCTCTCTCTTTTCCTACTTTTGTCTTTTCCAGTGGGGGAGGGGCAGTTGCAATAGGAAGGCCCTTTGTCCAAGTTGGAGAGGCTGCAGTTATGTGGAGAATAGCATATTTGGGGAAGAGAATAAATTTAGAAACTTTGAGAATAGTCCTGTTATATCTGTTGTTTTCCTTCATGATTTTGATATGTTGGCACTCAGGAGGTGTGTACTTATTTCATATTAAGGAGATTTTCTCCTGTCGGTCCTTTCACTTTGGACTTAAAGGTTCTTTGCTACTATCTGATTTAATTTAGACATAAAAATTAGTATCTAATGACTTGAGGTCCATGATTCCTTATATACTATTACTTACATTCTAAAAAAACAAAATAAAAACTTTAGGAATAGGGTAAACCATTTTAGGTTGCAAACCTCATTTTCAAATATGGGTCTAATGGATGCAGCCAAAGCTAAAACAGTGGACGTATTAAATAAACATTTAATTCTGCTTATATTCATACATCTTTAGTAATATCAGTTTATATCCATATCTTCTGATTTATGTTTTGTAAAGTTGGAAGTACTAGTTTTAATAACACTTTTGGAAATCCTTAATGTTATATTAAAAACATTAAGTGTATTCCTTAAATTTTAATTAGCATAAGAACTGTGACTCAGTTTAGGATGACCATCTCTTTCATTTGAGAAACAAAAAAAAAGATTCTTTTGCCCTTTAATCTGGTTTTTATTATTCTTTGTGATGTTTATTTAATTCTGTGATATAGAAATTAATTGCTTTCTTTTTTCAGATTATGATCATGCATTGGCTATGATTAGATAACCAAATTATTATGAAGACATATTAAAACATGAAGAAGTGATTTATGAATTTTATTGATCATCTTTTAAGTTGTTTTTGGTTAGTGCAGAGTTCTTTGATTATCTTAATAGATGAAGAATAACTATATCCTTTCCGAACTTCTTGGCTCCCTCTCATTTGCTTGTATTTTTTGCCTCCCTCTAAATTGCCTCTTCTTACTCCTTATCTATGGAACAAATTAGTGTAATTGCATTCTTATTTATATGGAGATTATCCACATTGTCTTTTTCTTGGCCAATTTTGCATTGATTATTACCTATTTTGTAGGATGTTTTTCTCATTTGTAGGGCGAAATTCAAAGTTTTTCTGAGTTTGTTTGTCAATACACGATACTCCTCAAGTGAGGATTCTTTTTTACTGGATTTCCTGGAGTCATTTTTCAAAGTTAGGAAAGGAAGTGAAGTTGGTAGAAAATAGATACTACCATGTTAGTAGTTTATTTACTGGCTGGTTGGGTAAAAGGAAGCAAAGGGCAGAAGAAGGAAGAAACACTGGACACCATAGTAACACTTCATAGGAGTCAGTGAGATTTGCTGTTGAAGATGATAGCCAAAGAGTAATTTGGAGGCACTGTGTGTCTAGGAATTAGGGAAAATTAGGTTGGTGAGTGAGTGAGTGTATCTAGTGGTTGTGGATTGTAGCAGGAAGAGGTTGCAGAGGAAGAGGAGGTGGAGCTCAAGGCAAACTTTATCTGTACTTTTACTTAGAGCTTTGAGGTCACTTGATACTTGTGATTAAACATCTTGGTTGGCACTATGTATTTGAGTGGTTGTAAACCTGAGTCTTCTCTATTCAGTGTAGTCTATATACTTCTAATTCACATTCCCCGTTTCCTTTTATGTTTTGTGCCCTCAGAAGATTTATTATATCTAATATTCTTAGATGTGATTATGTCTCTGAGAATATTGAAGGTCCTTAAAATGTTTCTAGGTCTTGAGCGATATGTTGTAAGTTTTCTTTTGAAACAAGAAGCATTGTCTCAATATATCATAGTTATACATGTGGTAAGTTTTTATTAAAAGATAACACAAATATCCAAAGTTATATAGCCAGTGAAGAGGATTGAATCGAGATTTATAACCAGGTCATCTGTCTCCTGAACCTGTACTCTTAATCACAATTCGTCAGATTGGAGTTACTTTACTAGAGGAACAAAACTTGAATATCAAGCCAAGTTCTTGGTCCCTGTATTAGAAAACAATAGCCCTCAGAGATATATGACTTTCAGTTTTTTAAAATGTGGGCAGCTCATGAGACAGTAAGAAGAATTCAAAATGAATACTTTTTAGCATGTTGAAGTTTTAAGTTCTGTTCTTTACAAAGATTTTATGCTTTTATTAGTTTGAAATATACTAGTGCAGTCTGAAAACTGAGGTTTTCAAGTGTTGATATCCCATGTGTTGATAGCAAATTGGAGTATTTTTCCTTAAGTGAATTACCAATAAAAATGAAGCAGCCCATTTTGTGAAATACTTTGTATTTTCCACGATTTATACTTTAATAACTTTTCACAATTCTTGACCAACATAAGTTTTCCCAAAATGAAAAACTTTTTTTCTCATTGTTAAGATAATATGCATTGTTAAAAACAAAACAAACATAAAACAATTCTGAACAGTATAAAGAAGTGAAAATTGTCTGAAATCCTACCAGCTAGAGAGTAACAACTGGTTAACCTTGTGGTAGATGTAAACACCTAGAGATAACAAATTCTTTGTTAACTTTGTATGTGAAAAATATCTTCTGGTTAGTGATTTGCTTTTCTGATGGTTCCTTTTAATGAACAGAAATTTTTAAGTTTTATTATCAAATGTGTGAGGTATAGGAATACAGTTTTCTCCCAACCCCCTAAATATGGAATATTAGTTTTATGAGCATCATGTGTTTTTCTTTGCTTTTTGCCTGTTATAAGTCAAGCTTTTCTATTTATGGACTATTTTGTTTCATTTATCAGTATGTCTTTTTAGGCCAGTACCACACTGTCTAAATTACATTATCATATAGTTTTTCTTTATATCTTATTAAAAAGAAAAGCCCCCTCACTTTGTTTTCCCTGAAGTATTCCGGCTGCTCTTGGCGTTTTTTCTATACAAATTTAAAACCAGTTTATCGCTCTCCCAAATCTGTGGTACAGTTATTGGGATTGCATTGCATCATTGCATCAGTTTTAGGGAGAATTGATATCCTTAAAATAATTTGAGCTTTTAATCACTGAACATGGTATGACTTCCCATTTGTCTTTTTTTAATTGCATACTTCTTTTCATGAAGGTTTTTTTTTTTTTAAGATTTATTTATTTTAGAGAGTGAAAGAGAGTGTGAAGAAGCAGGGGGAGGGGCAGAGTGAGCGGGAGAGAGAATCTCAAGCAGATTACCTGCTGAACAGGGAGCCCAACTTGGGGCTTGACCCCATGACCATGACATCACGACCTGAGCTGAAATCAAGAATTGGACAGTCAACCCACTGAGCCACCCAGGCGCCCCTTCTTTTCATGAAGGTTTGCATATCTTCTGTTAGAACTATGACTTAGAACAGGTTTCATCAAACTACAGCCCACAGGCCAAATCTGAACATCACCTGTTTTTATAATACCCATGAGCTGAGAATGCTAGTTAATAATTTTTAAATAGTTGGAAGAAATCAAAAGAACAACATTTAATGTCATGTAAAAATTACATGAAATTGAAATTTTAGTGTCCATAAATAAAATTTTTTGGAGTATAGCTGTGTTCATTCATTTAAGTATATAGCTGCTTTTGCACTACAAATGGTAGGGTTCATTTTTCCAGTAGAGATTATATGGCCCACAAATTCTAAAATATTTTACTATTTGGCCCTTTATAGAAAAAGTTTGCCCACCCTGATTGAGAATTATTGTTTGTTTCATTGTTTATATATCTCAGAGTTTCTTTGTATCTTGGGGTGGAGGTGGTGTTTCAGCCTGTCTTTCTTTATGTCTGTCTCCAGTTCTGGTAAGACTTAAACTCATGAGTCACTGTTACCAAAGTGTGTTGCATTCTTTAGATATGTGTGGGCAGAGAAAAATTTGATGTCATGTTTTATATAATAATCACTGTACCTGTGTTTTGGTATTTTACATTTGAGGATTTAATTTAATAAAATACAACTTAATTTGCCTGTTTACTGATATCCTCTTTTATAGGAAATTAAGAGAGAGACAGAATCCAAGGATGACAATTTGCCCATTAAACGGGAAAGACATGGGAATGTAGCAAGTCTTGTACAACGAATAAGCACCTATGGACTTCCAGCTGGAGGAATTCAACCACATCCACAAACCAAAAACATTAAGAAGAGTATGTAAATAATTTCTTTCCTGTTTAAATCAAAATAAAGGATGTTTTATAACCGTTCATAAGTTATGTTAAGAAAAATTAGCTTAACCTTTTGCAGTGGACTGCAGAAACTTCCTCCATATTCTCATGTTACTAGTTACTGGCCCTTGTAGTCATTCTTCTTACAAATATTGAGCATGACCTGCTGACAATTGTTTATAGGAATTAGAAATTAAAATATGGGGCTTTGTTTTCTTATTTGCCTTACAGGTTCTGTTGAATAGTTGATGCTTTGCCTTAAATTTATTTTAATACAATTTATATATTTATGCCATAAATAAAATTTATTTTGTGCTAAGATGTCTGCTCATCTTTAAGTAGTATAGATGCATGCATTTTGGTAGTATGTTTTCTTAATTGGTTAGACATCTGAATATAGACATTCAGCTTCCTAAGGTGATTGGCCCAGCAGTCCTTTTAGGTATTTAGTACTCTCTAAATATGTTAGAACATTTTAGCATAGAGGGAGAGCACCACATTTGAAATCAGACATGAGTTTGAGTCCATCTTATGACCTTAGATCATTTAACCTCTTGAGTTTTATTTTGCTGCTGGTGAGAAAGTGGTAAAAAAGACAGCTAGTATTGCTGTTTTCAAAAAGCTTACAGTATTGGGAAAGACTGTTATTAAAGTATTAAACATTAAACATGTACAAAATACAGCATTTATGGGAGCAGATGGTATTTTAACATAGTAAGACCTGAAGCCCCTTGAGAAATTGAATACTGAATTACATGATTAATTTGAGTTAATAAGTGGTAAATGAGTATTTAGCCACATTTATCTTAGATCAATGTCTTTGATATTGTGGTCTGTAAATCCCTTGTGGTACCAAGTAGTCTACAGTAAAGAAATTTTGTTTGTATATATTTTACAAATACAAGACTATGATTTTTATAGAGTCTCCTTATATCTTGCTACTTCTGTGCTACTGTCTGTGAAGTTTGGGGGAAACCTTTACTTCTCGGTTCTGTCATCCTTTGATGTTTTCATAAAATGAAAACAGATTTTCATAAAAATTAAAAAGATTTCATGACAAGACAGACCAGTTAAAGGATTCTGTGTTGTTTCCCAGTAAAGGCATTGTACAATATTTAGATATTACGCATACTGCTTTCAGACTACTGCCTGAAGGTGAACAGTTTCAATAGCTTTAATTGTCCTGGATGCTCAGACTCTATTTTAGAGACTGGGGGACAGATTACCGAGAGTATTTCATATCCTACAGGTGTACCTCTATATGGAATTTTTGTGCACAGGAGAATTTTAAGGCCCACTGGTGTGTTAATTTATGACCTTTGTCTATTATAAAATCCATTTACCACTTTCTTTAGTTTTACTGAGCTATAAAAGGACAGTTTTCTTAGAGACTAGACAAAGGACTTCAAGGTTATGATTATTTTATTCATTTTTGTGTCCTAATAAGAGAGGCCATACTAAATTTTACCTTCCTCAAGAACACTGGTTATAATTCTTTTTCTTGTAAAAGGAAAAACCATTATGTAGTTGGTGCCAGGAGGTTTAGACTTTTTCCTGAGGATCCTCCATAACTTGTTTTTAAGTGCATGTTCTTGCAAGGACTAAATTGGTAATTTGGTGCTAGCTAACATGTAAAACAGGATGCAGGTTGTTTTTGCTTTCAGATTGATTTTCCAGGAAAAGCAAGCTAATGTTTTTTTTTTTAATCTGATTTTTTTTGTTATTGTTTTTCTCATATCCTTAATTCACAAAATAGACCAGTTATTCAAAAGGTGGTTTATTTTAATATTAAATAGTAGTGGATACTACTATCCAATATTATTTATAATTTAAAAAAACATTGTAAAAGTTGATAAAATAATAACTGCAGTGTGAATGTTCAATTTTAATCTCTGTATGCCAAGACAAGTGAATCTGTATGTGTATTGAATTCTGTTTAAGCAACTTAAAAAGAGAGTTTCAAGTACATACTGTGGTGTTAAGTATCTGGAAACTGGGCTTGTTAGCTATTCTTCTTTAGTCTCCCAAGCCAAAAAAGTCTTGGCTATTTCATGAAGTCTAGTCGCAAAGCCATTGAAACTTTTGCTTTTGTGTGTAAGCTAACCATAATAACTGGTAAAACAAACTGGTATTTTTTTAGGGTGAGCACAGAATAGTGTTTTCCAGGACAATTACTAGAAGTTGCTAAAGTTATAGAAGAGAAAAATTTGCACGTCTCATAGCAAAAACTGGTACAGGTCACATTGCTGCTGAGACCTTTATAAAATCAGGCACAGAGATAATGTTGTAGAGAAATTTGTTTAAGCAACTTAAAAAAGTAAAGTTACTATTTTTCCTAAAATAAATAAAACAGAAAATCCTAAGTTTAAATAAATGGCTCATATTTTGTAGTAATAATAGGGGCCGTTCAGATATTTTTTATCCAGTGTGGCTCTTTCCTTTGGGGGAAAAATTATTTGCAAATAATTTTGCAAACTACTTTGGAAAACACTCTGGTGAATTATGCTTAGTGTGAACAGGGAAAAAACCACAAACTCAAAGTTTTTGGTTATGATATAACTAGGCTTCTCAAAGTTAATTGATATGCTTGGGTGCAGGGGGGCTAATTAATGCTCTTTATCTACTTTAAGTCATTTAAAGGTATTCTTACCCATTAAAAAGAAGCAAGCTACATTTTTTTTAAAGGCCTAATAAGATTATCAAATGATAGGATTTTCTTTGAAGTGCACCCTGAGCAGAATAGAATTTTTTTTTAGTAATGTAGATCATTTCTCTTTCACCTATGAAGTGCTAACTACAATAGACACATTTTCTCAAGCTCACTTCAACTTCCAAAAGTATTTAGGGACTGTATTTATCTATAGTGGAAGAAATGAGAAGTTTTCCTGCAGTATGCATAAAAGCCACTATTAAATAACTACTTAAAAATTTACTCTGAGATGTGATGAAAGGTGACATTTGAAAAATTATACTGTAAATTCTAGGTTAGTTATAAAAGTATGGTCAGCATTGGGGTGCCTGGATGGCTCAGCTGGTTGAGCGTCTCCCTTGGGCTCAGGTCATAATTTCCGGGTCCTGGGATCGAGTCCCACATCAGGCTCCCTACTCAGTGGGGAGCCTGCTTCTCACTCTCCCTCAGCCCTTCCCCCTGCTTGTGCTCACTTGCTAGCATGCTCTCTCGCTCTCTCTCTGTCAAATAAATAAATAAAATCTTAAAAAAAAAAGTATGGTCAGTGTTTACTTTCTTTGGTTCCTTCTATTGTAAAACATTTTTAAAATCAGATATTCCAGTATGAAGTGGAGGAAACAATTACTGAGGTATAACTGTTTCTTATTTGGAGACTAGATTTTTCTATTTGATTGTCATCTGTTTTGCACCTCTTTCATGTGTTGATTGCATATAATATGCTTCTTTTATTGTTTTGGAGGTTCACTTGGATTTATATTTTTGTTTTGGTAAACAATTTTCATAGATCCATAGAACATCAGAGCTGAAGTAACAGTCATGGTTGTGTAGTCCAGCTCTTTTATTTTGTACTTCAGGACATTGATTCCCAGAGAACTTAGGTCAAATAATGAGGAAATGACAGATGTACTAGAACCTAAGTCTTCTGACTTCCAAGCTAATGTTATTTCTTCTGTAGCATGGCATCTTTTTTTTTTTTTTTTTTTTTACTATATACAGAAGTTTATTTGGAGAGGTTATGACTTGATGTAGTGAAGTTGTATCTATTTAGACTGCTTTTCAGCATTCTATTTTGTTGTCAGCAACAATTTCTTTAGAATCCTTGTATTATCAACTCCTATTTCTTTGGGAAAACTTAAAAAAATTTTTTTTTAAGATTTTATTTATTTATTTGACAGAGAGAGAGGCAGACACAGAGAGAACACAAGCAGGGGCAGCAGCAGAGGGAGAGGTAGAAGCAGACTCCCTGCTAAGCAGGGAGCCCGATGCGGGGCTCAATCCCAGGACCCTGGGATCGTGACCTGAGCCGAAGGCAGACGCTTAACCGACTGAGCCACCCAGGCGCCCCTGGGAAAACTTTTTTATCTAGAATATCTGCCACGTCTTTTCCACCTTCTTATATTGTGTTCATCTTTAATTGTGTAACTCTGATCATTGTTCTTTGAATTCTTCCACATCTGTTCCAGTTCAAACCTGTCCTTTCTATTAATTTTTGGGATATTTGTAGTTTGCTCTAAATATTTACTATCTCATTATATATTTGTATTTTATTACTAATTGTTGCCTGTTTCCTAAGTTCTTTTAGTTGCTTAAGTGTGCATTTAATTTATTAAGAAAAGTCACAGGATTGTTGGTGGTAAAGGGTTGATGGAATGTGGATACTCTTGGCATGATGTTTCTTGGCATTAATGCCATATAGTTAGGCCTAGATAATTGTTCATTAATTCATTCAAAAATATTTAATGGGCCTGACATAGGCCAGGCACTATGTTAGATAGTGGGGAGAAGGCAATTAAACTCAGTGCCCATTTATCTTTAGCCTACAGAGGATGGGGTGTACACACATGAAAATAAATCATTATGATAGAATAAAAAGGAAAAAGTGAGTTGTCAGTAACAGGTAGGTTACAGAATTAAATAGTGTAAGTATAGGGTGCTATAGAAACACAAAGGAAGAGTACCTAATTCAGAAAGCTATTTGGGAAGAGGTTTCTTCTTAGTTGAGACCTGAAAATGAGTTGAAGCCCGAGAAAGGTGGACTCTGTGGATGAAAGTAAAGAGTCCTTGGCCAAATAAACAGTATATATATTTTTAAAGATTTTATTTATTTATTAGAGAGAGAGAGAGAGTGCATGAGAGAACACGAGCAGGGATAGGGGCAGAGGGAAAGGGAAAAGCAGACTCTCCTGCTGAGCAGGGAGCCTGACATGGGGATCTATCCCAGGACCCTGGGATCATGAGCTGAAGGCAGTCGCTTAACTGCCTGAGCCACCCAGGTGCTTCAAAAAAAACGGTATACTTAAGTCTTAGAAGGAATAGGATTTGTCATTTTTAAGCAATTAGAAATCAGTATAATTAGATCACTGAGTACAAGATTAAGAATCATCTAGGGCATCTTAAACTGCAGATTTTGATTCAGCCTGCAAGGGCTGCTATAACAAAATACCCCAGACTAGGTGGCTTAAACAACAGAGGCTTATTTTCTCATAGTTCTGGAGGTTAGAATTCTAAAATCAAGGTGCTATCAGAGTTGGATTCTGGTGAGGCCTCTTTTCCAGAATTGCAAGTACCTGCCTTTCCCCTGTATCCTCACATGGCCTTTTGTGTGTGTATGCCCACATGCACATGTGCACAATTAAGTGTGTGTGGGGATTAGGGCTCCCTTTTATGATGTTATTTAACCGTAATTACCTCCCCAAAAAGGCCCTACCTCCCAATATAGTCAAGGACACAGTTCAGTCCATAATGGGTAGGTCCAGCGTGGAGCCTGAGATACTGCATTTCTTGCTGCTGGTCTGAGGAACATACTTTGAATAGCGAGAAGTTATCCTTGAATCATAGGATTCCTGATATGGATATCTGATCATCTACCCATAGGTGCTTTAATGAGTCAGTTTTAAAGATGGGGGTGAATCTGAGTTCTCAACTCTTAGAGTTTGAAAGAAGTTGAGAACCACAAGCCTGGATGGTTATAAATGATTGTCACTTACTTGAATAAATGAAACTTGTTTGAAAACTTTAAGTAAAATTATTATCTTTACCTAGGTGAGTTTGATTTTTATATGTCAGAAAATAGAACTCTTAATATAAGATACATTTTGGACTTGTTCATTTTGTGACTTTTTAACACAGACACTCTTAAATTAGTGCATTTTTAGTATTTCCAGACTTTGATCAGGAAGTAGTCTGAAAATTACTGGCTTGAAAGACAGCTTGTCTGTGAAAAAATTTGTTGTGCCAACAGTGTCTTTTATTGTTTTTATTTTAAGTTTCAAAATTGGCATTGGATATTTTACTTTGGTCTAATTGGTGGGATTAGATGTATAAATAGATTTCATGGCTGGGAACCATGTACCTTATTTGTATTTGGTTTGAATTTATTTTGGCATGCGTAATGTGGGGGCAAGGTGAAAAGCCAGCCAGAACTGATTGTGGTTAGCTGCTTAGAATGCTTCCATGTTCTGTTTTATTCATACATACGAATTCTATGGCAATAAATATGGTGTGTAAATAAAGGTGCTGTTGTTTGTTTTAATGATCTTTCTTAACTTCATTTTTTACTATGCTACTTCTTTCAGAGACCAAGAAGCGTCAGTGTAAAGTTCTCTTTGAGTACATTCCACAAAATGAGGATGAACTGGAGCTGAAAGTGGGAGATATTATTGATATTAGTGAAGAGGTAAGGAAAACGTGCTAGAGATAAAGCAGCAATTGGAATTGATGCTCTGGGTATTAGAAAACTGCTTTATAAGAGTATTAATTTTTCATTGAAATTTTTGCCAGTTTTATTGTATTATAAAAATTTTAAAATACAGGTTTTAAAATGCTTCTTTAATGTCTTAATGTAAGGTTGTCTTACCTGTTGGAATAAAGCTTTAAATTCTTACTATACCTGGTTATTTGTGTACTGTATTTGTATGTGTTGACTTTAGGAATAAAAGTTTTTAAGCTGAAGATTAATGTAATCTAAGTAGCTAAGAATAAAACATTTTCTTCGATTCTGAATTCACTTTAGGCCCAAAGCAGTAAAATAGAAGCAGTTTTACCTTCTGCATAGCAGGGATACAAAAAACAGAATCTTTTTAAAAGCTTTGCCTTGTTTGAATTGTCACATTCAAATGTGAACCAAAAACACTTTTCCCACATTTTAATATCTTACAGTGAGATTTAAAAAGATGGTAGACATAACCTTTCATATCTCTTCTTTTACCATTAAAAGAATATTAAAAACTTCATTTGGCAGCTGAAGATCCCATTTTCAAAGTATATGTTTTGATATCAGATATAGTCATAGGAATTGATTTTATGTCATAACATCATGTAATGTAATTTATCACTTAATGTTTATATTAAATTCCAATATATATATATGAGACAATTCTGTTTTATTTCTACCAGGTGGCAATAATAATAATGTTTATTGAGGCTGTGTGTCTAAAGCATTATGCTAAGTGTTTCACATTTATTTCCTTTTAAATTTCTAAACAACCTAAGGAGACAGGAATTTTTATATCCATTTTATATATGAAGAGATGGAGTCATGGAAGATAAGTGATTGGCTCTTCTAGTTACTGTTGCTGCATAACATGCTGGCCCAAACTTTGTAGCCAATGAACCTTACTAGGTTCATGGGTTGTGTGAGTCAAGAATTCAGAAAGGGCACGGTTGGGATGGCTTGTGCCTCTGTTCCAATGTCTGGAGGGCTCAACTGGAAAGACTCAAAGTTCGGGTGCTGGTGGAATCATGGGAAGGCGCCTTAACTGACGTGATTGGTACCTAAAAGGCTCGAAGACTACCTCTGGGGATCTATTAGGTAGCTTCTCCATTTGACTTGGCTTTCTCATTGTGTGAGGCCCCGAGATAGATAGTTGGACTTATTGCATGCCATTTCAGGGCTCTTAGTGTAAACATTTCAGCAAACATGGTGATAGCCTTTTATAATCTGACCTTGGAAGTGATAGTATTACTTTCACCATATTCTATTGGCTACAAGCATGTCAAAAGCCAGCAAGATTGAAGGCAATGGAACAAAGACCATCTGTTGGTGGAATGTCAAGATTACCTTGTAGATGATCATGTGGGATAGGAGATCTTGTTTCAGCCATTTTTGCCCAAGTCCATATGCATGGGATGCAGAGGAGCCAGAATCTGAATCTACAGTTTGAGTCATTATTCTTTACTGCTATACTATCCTGCCTCTTAGGAATTTCTTAATTTATGGGAATTACAAGGTTATTTACCCTAACTACTCAGTTGCTGCCAATTTGGGATTGCAGGTGTAGATAATTAAGTTTCCTGATGTTTTTCTCAGTTGTATCTGTTACAGTTTGGTCTGTGTATCTCCATCACCTTGGTTTGAAGAACTCTCAATCCTTTGGTGTCTCCTTAAATCTGCTGAAAAATTCTGAACTCTTCAGTCTTAAGAGCCTTCCATTTCTCCCTCCAACAGTTTGTATTCTAGCTGCCTTGTATTTCAGTTGTATATATTCCAGGAATAAATCTTTTATTTTTATGTCACTGTATTTTTAACTTGGTTTATACCTAGAAAACTCTTATTCAGCCTTTAATATCCAGCTTTTTTTGTTATTTCTTTTTAGGGAAGCCTTTTTTGAATCTTTCAAGCCCTTCTTTTGTGCTCTTATAGCAATTTGTTCATACTTTTGTTGTAGTACCTCTTACATTACATTGTAATATCTGCTTAGTATTTGTTTTCTTCTTTAGATTGTTTCACTCAAGGGCAGAGATTTCTCATATGCAAATCTCAGTCTTTAACTAGCAGTCAACACCATGGCTCATACATAGTGAGTGCCTGTTGGATGAATAACTTATTAAAGTTTGCTTTGTAATTCTGAAGTGAAAAACATTTAAAACATTTTAAATAAAATAGCCTTTTCTAGCAGTGATATTTCATGTTCTGCTGTTAACAGTGAATAGTTTACTCTTAAAATTTTTTTTAACCTATTAAGACCTTTTAGCATCCTTAGTAAAAATTATACATTTTAAAAATTATTAAATAGTATTAAATAACCATGAAAGTTAGTAACCTTGTTACTAGTGAATGTAAATATTTTTCTAAAGAGTTTGGTTCCCGAGGATATTTCTGGTTGACATTTGGGGAGTGTTCTTTTTCTTACTTGGGTTAAGATTCACTGTTTAAATAAAAGGCTTAGTAATTTTATGTGGCATTTGGGAAAGTATAGTCTTATATTCATCAAACTTTGTCTAAATCTGAATTTTCATATGCTTAAATAATATATGAAACATATTACAAATATTGACATAATTACAAAATTGAGGCTCAGTGGTGTTTAAAAGAGTGATGTTCCAGAAGAGAGCTATCTACTTCCTGCTATTAATACCTTATTCTTGGTTATCTGGTATTTTTATAAAAATTACTTACACGGTGGATTGCAGTTGATTACAGATTCTCATTGTAAATGTTCTAAAGTGCTACTGATATGACTAATCCCATATATGATAAGTCTAATCAATTTAGATTTAATCTACTTAAAATATATTTTTCACCATTATTTTCTTACAGATTTAGAGGGATTATTTTGCATCACTAACTTTGTGCTCATTCACTTATGTAGGTTAATTTTCCCATAGCGGGACAATTTTACTTAAGAGAACTTTTTATTATTTTTGAGTTGTGAACTCTTTCAGGTAGAAGAAGGCTGGTGGAGTGGAACGCTGAACAACAAGTTGGGACTGTTTCCCTCAAATTTTGTGAAAGAATTAGAGGTAACAGATGATGGTGAAACTCATGAAGCCCAGGAGGATTCAGGTAGATTATTTAAAAAATTTGAATAGATTTAAATAAAATTATATATGATCTAATGCTTATTTGGTATTTTTTGAAACTCTGTTCTTGTTGAACTATGAGCTTCAGTTTTTCTACTTTTAAAAAGCAGCTTATGACAGGGACTTAAAATGAACTAAGTATCTAGGCAAATAATTTAATATTTTTCCTTCTCTGATGTCTGTTTCAACCTAAAGTAAATGTTTAGTTCCCTGATTATGAATTAATACTGCTTATGTTATCTGATTTCTTTCCACTTAAGATGTACTGATGTTTTGATTTGAGTTTGCAAATGTCATAACTACTTCAGAGATTTTAGAATTTTTTAATTAAAAAATCTTGCTTTTGTTTTTGTTCCTATTCAGATAATAAATTAGTTTTTTGTGTAGCCAGAATATCATTTAATATTTTGTGATTGCCCTCATTTATAGGCTTACCCACAAATTCATCTTAAATTTGCTCACCATTTAAAAGTATGATTGAGAACATTTATCCCAGGGGCGCCTGGGTAGCTCAGTCGTTAAGCATCTGCCTTCCGCTTAGGTCATGATCCCAGAGTCCTGGGATCAAGCCCCGCATCAGGCGCCCCGCATCAGGCTCCCCGCTTGGTGGGAAGCCCGCTTCTCCCTCTCCCACTCCCCCTGCTTGGGTTCCCTCTCTGGCTGTGTCTCTCTTTGTCAGATAAATAAATAAAATCTTAAAAAAAAAAAAACATCCCAAAGCTAAATTTAAATTATTTTTATTTTTAAGAATTGCAGTGGAATTTAGTTTAGTTTTTTTTTTTTTAAGGTCTATTTATTTATTTTAGAGAGAGAGAGAGAGCATGTGTGAGTGAGCAGGGGGAGGGTCAGAGGGAGAGGGAGAGACAGTTTTAAGCAGTCTCTGCCCTGAGTGCAGAGCCTGATGTGGGGCTTGATCTCACAACCCTGAGATAGTGACCTGAGCTGAAACCAGGAGTCTGACACTGAACTGACTGAGCCACCCAGGCACCCTTGTTTTTTGTTTTGTTTTTTGTTTTTTGTAAGAGAAATTAAATTCAAAAGTGGTAATGCAGGGATCTAAAGTAGATCTTTTTATGTATGGAAAAATGTATGTAATGAGGTTCAGTATATTTTCAAAGGCAACATTAAATGTTGACAGTATTTAATATTGACAGTATTATTTAATTCATAGTTCACATACAGATTTAATGTTTTAGTATATGCTTTGTACAGTTGTTTTTTTCTCCCAATTCTGGACAAGACTATGCAGGGAATTTATTTCTCAAGTTTCTTTAGAATAGTTTCCCAGTCTTTCATTGTTTTTCTTGACAATTTTGAAGGATTTATGCTGATATTTTATATAATGGATCCTAGTTTGGGCTTTCCTTCAGATTCTTCATGATTAGTTTCAGGTTGTGTTTTAACCGGATTACAAAATGTTATCTCATTGCATTGTATCAGGAGGCACATGATGTCTGTGTGCTTTCTTTTTGGTGATGTTCAATTTAATTACTTGGTTAAAGCTGTGCTGCCAGTGTAAGGGTACTGTTGTTTTCTTTATGATTGGGAAGTGTCTTGGGGGGAAATACTTTGAGACTATAAAATTGACATTCTTCTCTAAGGAACTTTTCTTTCTGCTCAGTTTGTTTATTTATCGGTGTGGACTCACCAGTGGGTTCTATTTTATTCACTAGGTATTAATCTGTTAATGCTATTTATTTTGATACCACCAGATTTGGCCCATGAAAGTTCCTTCAAATTAGTTTCTGTGATTTTTTTTTTAAATCAACTTTATTGGAAATATAATTTATATATAATCTGCCTATTTAAAATATGTGAGTTTGACAGATGTATAGTATACATCCATGAAAACCACTGCCACAATAAATATACAAAATATTTGCATCATCCCCAGAATATTCCTCATTCCCTGATGCAGTCCATCTCTTTTTCTGTCTCTGGTTTCAGGTGATTATAGGTCTGCTTTTTTCTCATTATGGATCGGTTTGCATTGCTGTGTCCTCTGAACAGGTCTTCATCATTGTTTGAGCACTTTGTTATTTTGTTGCACAAGATGTTCCAGGCTCATCTTGAACTTTACCTACTTCATCCTTAATCGGCTACTTATTCAGGCAAAGTTGGTTAGTAGTTAAACACTGAGATCTGAGTACAAGTGTGCTCATTGATCCTGGGGTGATATTGCTTCTAGGCACTCTTAGTGGATAAAACGGGGGAATGCTTACACATGTACACACATGCCCACATACACACTCCTATATCTCTTTACCTATCATCCATCTCTCTACCTACCTACCTACCTACCTACCTGCCTGCCTACCTATTTCTGCTGGTGCCTCTAATTCTATTTTAATACCACAGGGTGCATTCTAGTCTGCAGTGATTTCGTCTTTAAGCCCGTTAGCCATAGAGATGAATGAAATAAATGAGTTTACTTTACTTTTAAGGGAATTTTCAGGAAAGGGTTTTAGGATCAGTTTTAGTAATAATAGGTAATAGAATGATGGTATAGATCAGTCTGGTGAATAGTTTTAACTCATCTTATTTTTAGAATAAAATAAATGACCTTAGGAAGCAGTAGAGGACAGTTTAATCAGTGAATATTTCTTAAGCCTACTATGTGCTAAGTGCTAGGTTGGTTTTGTGAGGGTACAGAATCCCCTCTGCAGTCCAGAAGCTTAAGGTCCAGGCCTCTGAGGGATAAGACAAGTATGAACTCAAATTAGTACATTTCAGTCTGGATTAAAATGGTCTGAGTGTAAGAGGTGCTGGTGGAAAACAGTTCTAAACAGAATACATTGTCACTTAAAAAATTACTTTGTACATTTTCATCTTTTCAGAAATATTCTAGGAAACATTAAAAATATAATCTGCAGCTCTGACTACAACTATTTTAGAAGATGTTATTTTCTAAACTTCTTTTCCTTCTAATTGTTCTTCCCCTTGTTTTCCACTATACAGGCATTTTTTAAAAAAAATTTTAATTGTTATAAAAAACACATTATGTAGAATTTACCATCTTGACCATTTTCTTAGCATAATTCAGTAGTGTTATGTATATTCACATTGCCATGCAGTAGATCTCCAGAACTTCTTCATTTCACAAATCAAAACTCCATACCTATTAAATAACTCCTCATTCCTTGCCCCTTGAACCACCATTCCACTTTGTTTCTGTGAATTTGACTACTTTAGATACCTCATATAAATGAAATCATACAATATTTTCTTTTTGAGACTGGCTTATTTCACTTAGCATAATGTTTTCAAAGTTTGTCCATGTTACAGCATGTGACAGAATTCTCTCAGATTGAATAATATTCTATTTTGTGTATGTACTGCATTTTGTGTAGCCATTCATCCATTCATGGATGTTTGAGTTGTTTCCCCCTCTTGGCAGTTGTGAGTAAAACATGGGCTGTTAAAACACGGGCATACAGATATTTGAGACCTTGTTTCCCGTTTGAATATATACCTAGAAGTGGGATTGCTGGATTATATGCTAGTTCTATTTTTAATTTCTTGAGGATATGCTGTATCATTTTCCATAGTGTTTGCACTATTTTACACTTCCACCAACGGTGGAAAGAGTTCTAATTTGTCCACAACCTCAGCAAACACACTTGTTTTCTGGGTTGTTTTTTATTTTATTTTATTTTATTTTTTTTTATTAGCTGTCCTTATGGGTATGAGATGATATCTCATTGTGATTTTGATTTGCATTTCTCTAGTGATCTTGAGCATCTTTTCATATGCTTATTGGCCATTTGTGCATCATCTTGGGAGGAGTATCTGTTCAAGTCCTTTGTCTGTTTTTCAAACAGATTATTTGGTTTTTTTCCTTTTATAGTTGAGTTGTAGTAATTCTTTATGTATTATGGATATTAATCCCTTATCAGATACATGATGTGCAGGTATTTTCTCCCATTCTGTTAATTGTTTCCTTTGATGTAGAGAAGTTTTTCATATAGGTAGTCTCATTTGTCAGTTTTTTCTTTTGTTGCTTGTGCTTTTAGTATCATATTTAAGAAATCATTGCCAAATCCAATGCAAGTGAAACTCTCTCCCTGTGTTTTCTTGTAGGAATTGTATAATTTTTGGTTTTATGTTTAGGTCATTAATTCATTTTGAGTAAAATTTAAGACAAGGGTTCACCTTCATTGTTTTGCATGTGGATATCCAGTTTTCCTAGCAGCATTTGTTAAGGATGTTACTGGACAGAGAACTGGTTCCAAGCTCAGGTTTGGTTGCTCACTGCTAGAAAAATCAATAGTCAAAGGACAAGTGATGGTGGGAAAGGAAAGGTTGCTTTATTCAGGAAGCTGGCAATCTGGGAAGATGATGGAATAATGTCTCAAAGCCATCTTCACTGTCCAGGTGAAGCTGGAGAGTTTTAAACGGGAAGGCATGGGAAAAAAGGAGGAGGGTAACCTGCAGGAGAAGCCGGCGCCGAGGCGGCTTAGCCATATGTTGACATGACCCAGAATGGACTTGCTGGCATCAGTGGCAGCTGTTTTCAATGTAGTCAGGCCTTATCTTCTGGGAAAGTCTGGTCCTTTAGTCCTCAAGGTCAGTGATCTGCAAATCTCAAAGAAAGTAGGTTAGTTCTGCTGCAGATCAAGGGATTTAAAGCAAGTAAGGAGTGCGTAAACTTGAAGCAAGGTTAATAATTACCCTTAAGACCCGTGGTGATGCTGTTACAGAGAGTCCTTTCCCCTTTTGAGTCACCATAACACCCTTGTTGAAGTTCATTTGACCAGTCTATGCAGACTTTTATCATGGCACGTATGGCTATTTATATGTTTATGTTTTTCCTCTCCAGTAGACTGTCAGCTGTTTATAGACAGAGACTGTTCTTTTTCTTTGTTTGCTTACTGCTTACTATAGGGATCCAAAAAATAAATAGCTTATGATCTGTTTAATTTTTATTCCGGAGTATTATATTTTCTCTCATGTCATTTATGTGCCTTTTTATAGGGCCAACAC